TTTACTTAAAACCCCTTTGTGCTGATCAGAGACAGAGCAAATGCTCAGGATTATAATGGAAACACTGAAACTCTTCCTGTTTTGCAGATCCAGAGCCAGAGTCTCACCTTATATACACGTATGACACAGGAAACCAGAACTACCATGTGGAAGTCTTCAGATCACCCAGTCAGTAGCAGTAAGACTTTGTTTGCTCAAGCAAGAATCAATTGCCTTGAGCTGACATTTTAATAGGATTGTTTTCCTAGCTTCTGATGGAATCAGTATATTAAGATAAAAAAAACTATGAAATCCAGTATGTGCCTTATGGATATTTACAGCATTATAAATGTAAACCAAATGCGAAAACTATCCTGCCTTCCAGATTTAGAAAGTATCTTTTTTGAAGTGACAGCTTAGAAGTTAAAGCATTAAATTACCTCAAGGCAAGCATATTTTCTAGTTACAAGTGTTAAAAGTTTCTTGGAAAAAACAATTTAGTTTCACTCACTGAGGTTGTTAGTACTAAGGAGCACAAAACCAGGGGGCAAATCTCTGGGGTTTGTCACCTGCACTAGATCTGCACAAGAAACTGGATGCTGGCTATGCTAGCAGTAGCTTCTAGCAAGTTTTTGGGCTTTGGACTGTTGGACTTTTTAACCAATTAAAAATCATAGTTTTTTAGGACAAATTCCAAGACTGCTTACTTTTCCCTAAAAGGAGCCACTTTACCAATCCATAGCAGCAGACAGAGCTGTTTTCAGAACCTCTGAGAAAGGTGATTCACTGACCCAGATTAATAAAAAATAAACACAACCTCCTGTGCTGAGGATTGTGAAGACCCACACTTAGGTTTATACTCCTGCCCTTCTCAAGACTAAAGTAGGTCTGATGTGCAGTAAGGGAGCATCGCCAAAGGGCTTCCTCCTGCTGAGGAAGACACTTGTCACACTCCAAAGCTACATTAGAACAAAGTGGCCCTGCCTTCCTGGACTGCAGGCAAATCCACACAAGAAGAGATTCATGTGCACTTTTCTACTGCTAACTACTGCCTGCCAGTGAGCATGTGAAATTGCTCTACACACGAGAGACCAGACACCCAAAAGAATGTATTTTTTCCTTCTTTCTTACCTTTTCATCTCTCACAGTAGTCACATAAAACACCTTTGGCACTTAAGCATTCTTCTAGCTCACAAAAACTGATTTTAACTGTTCTCAGCATCAGCCAACACCCTCCTAACCCCTGATAAAAAATACCAGGTTTCTCAACAGACTAAATAAACCATTTCTGTAGCATTCATTTAGGATGATGAAAAAAGAAGCCAACCAAAAAAAGTTCCTTTCTTTAGATGGGCCCTGCTAGGAATTGAAGGTGCATTCTAGTTAGAATAAGGGAGTTAACATCATTTATAAGACACTTCATTCACTGGTATTAGCTTGTATTTGTCCTTAAGCTCATAAATCACATGTTCTCAAAAGTGAAATTATTTTTAACTATTTGGGGATTTACCTCTTTGATTTTGCTGTCTGCCCAACCTTTGAAAGGTATATTTAGTCTACAGGCATCCAGGGACATCCTCAGCAGATCCCATTCCCTGTTTGTAGGAAGCTATAACTGACTAAGGCAATAAAAGCAAAAAATATGGAACTTCAGAAAATAAAGTGAAATACAGCATGAAATCTCAAAAATTACTCTAAAGATGCAAGAAATATGCCTGTATGTGATCAGATGTTCAGCTAGGCACCCAGGCCATCACTCCAAATGACCTTCTGCCTTTGATGGATCCCAAAGTTCCCTAATTATACACTCCCTCCTTGCAATTACTACAGACTCCCTGCTGACCTTCTAATCTCCCTGTGCCATTTGCACCCCTGAACCCAGGGCATGCTCTGAAATGCAACACAACAGAACTGCATACAGGGTGTCAGGGGCCATTAAGCAAGGCTCCGTGGGTACTCTGGGTTGTAGGTGCTCTTAGCACACACAGGAAAAGGCTTAATGGAGGGTGAAATGGCAAATCAGGGTGGAGGGGGACAACACACTCAACCTAAGAATGCAAAGAAAGGAAAGAAAGAAGGAACTTGAGGAAAACTGAAGCTGTGATGAATGCAGTCAGACCTTGGGGATAGATGCCTACAGGATAAAGTGAACACAAGTTCCTGGTCTCACTTCACATGACTCGGGCACATATCCTGAGCAATTTTTAAAATTCCATTGTTACACTCCCTATACCTTTATAACTGAGTACAAGTCATTTTCTCCTCCCTAGTTTTTACAGCATTGATCAAATACAAGCAATTCTCTCATATATGCAAAGCTGGAAGACAGTTCAAAGCAGTATCATAACTTCCATACACTAAGCTCAAGTTCAGCAATCCTACAAAGAGAAAGGACTTTACCTAAAATGAATATAATGCAAAGCTACTGAGTCACTAGCCTGGTTTCTACCCTCTTGCTCCCAATAAATAGTATCTGACCTCAGCAGCAGTCAGACTTTAAATGTTTGGATGCACTCATGAAGCTTGGCACTGTTCATTAAGGGGCAATAACTGATTAATGTATTTTTTCAGGTACATTTGTTGAATGCACAAACCCATGAAATTTTACAAGCTTTGAGGATGAAAACATCTTTTTACTAATTTTTGAGGGTAGTCCCATCTAGGAATAGGGAATGCATTCAGGGAGGACAAGATCTCACAGGATAATTCCACGTGGTCTGTAGTTCCCTCTTTTCACATTCATTCTTCTCTAAACTCCAAAAAAGTTTTCTCCTTTGGCAGTTGCACAGGGCAGAAAACATTTGCTTTGAATCCATGAGGATGAGGAAGAACATTAGCTTGAAGGTTCTGAGTCAGGCTGGAGGACACTGTGCAGTTACAGGCAATCAGTTGGCTGTGCCCACCACACAATCCCTCCCTGGAAAACTTTAGGCACATCCCACAGAAGTGCAACAGCATCCATGGAGGCTCTGCTTCCTATTCTGAAAACCATCACCACTGAGGGGAAAGCAGACACAACCCTGGCTATGCTACATACTTTCCAAGGCTGTATCTGCCTGGGCAGAAAGTGAAATGAGAGGGGAGAGAAAGCCCTGAGAGCAGCAAGACAGAGAGGTCTTTGCTGGTGGTCAGACCAGGCACTCTGTGAGCCAGCAATGACTGAGGACATGAAGCACAGCTGGAAGCTGCAGTGACAAGTTCACACAGCTCATCTAGAAGGGGGAAAGGCCTAAGTTAAAGGCACTCAGAGATTTCTGACCATACACATACATGATGATACTGCAATGTATCAGTAAGGAAGAGGGGGGAGAGAAATAAGAAGTGAGACATTCAGCCTGTTGCAGGCAAGAAGATGATCCTGTGATTAAGAATTTGAGAACTGATAAATAAGGTATTTGAGACAACTTTTAGCAGCAGTAAGTACAGGTTTTGATGAAAAGTTACTTTTAATGTGCGTGGTTCCTTCAAGTAATGCAAAGCAACAGTTTACAGGAATAGAATTCAAACAGGCAACAAAGATTGTTGAAAGTGGAAATTCTTAGAACTTCTCATATTTTTCTGTAAAAAGTATGCCACTATTCTCAATGACATAACATTTGAGCATCTATTAAAACATGAAACATGGAAGAAATAAACCAAAACCAAGCATATTTGTGATACCTCATCTTTCCTTCTCCTTGTAAACATACTACTCTCTCTCTTAGTAAACATATTAAGATATCTGGTATAGTTTTGAATTGAGCTTTGGATAATATAGTCAAGAACCAATGACAGTTATTTGTAAAGCCAGATATATAGATAAAACTTAAGATGAATACAGAATTACTGTTTTCAAATGCTTGCTTCATCACTAATTTCCAAGGACTAACCAAAGTCCACACACCTCAACCCAAGGACAAGATGGAATATATCCAAATATCCAAGAAGCACAAGAAAGAGGTGTTTCTTTCAAATAGCAGTTATTTCTGGTTCTCTCTTCTATCCTGTCTATCACCCTCTATTAATACACATCACACAGTCCTAAATACATCCAACCAATTGCATTCTATTTTGTGTAGGCTACTAGAAAGAGCCTAGTGTATGAAGTTGGATTTTCTTGAGGTCCCAAAAATAAGAGTCTTGCACCTTTAATTTCTTAAGTGACTGCAAAAAAATGGAACAACGCCAACTTCAATTCACAGTAATATTTACAATGCTGTATTTCTACAGTGTGCCTGTCACACAACTTGTCCTTGGCCTTTCAATAAGTAGTGATGTGGCAAAGCACAAAGTATCAGTCTTCGTGTTTCTAGGCACAAAACTATAAAATTTAGCAACACAGTACAATTGTTTTCAAAGACAGTTGTGTGATGCTATTTCTCCTTATCACTTTGGAAGACATAATAAATGCTATCAAGGGATAAGTACAAAATGTGTATCATTGCAGTTTTGATTTGTCTACTCAATACAATTCTTAAGAAGGGTTTCACAGACACACTTCCACTGAAGTTTGGAAATTTCCTATTCCCTTTTAGCAGAAATGTGTTTAGAGAGCACTGCTGCACATTTACTAGGATACAACATACCTTTACAGCATTGTTGAAAGCTGAGGAAGAAACTGACCAACACCAGCTCTTCTCTCACCATCTCAACTACCATTACTCCTCACCCACAACCACAATATCTGTTAAGCTACAAATACATAACTGATGCAACTGACAGCATCATTTTGTCAAGACAATAGCTTACTGTGTTTCTAAGGCATGCTTTTCCCCTCCGTTATAACGCTCTTGGTGTCAGGAGTTACATCAACCAACTACATTACTGGCCAGCAAGAGATCCTTTGAAAGCGGCATTTGTATATCCCACCAGAGAAGTATCATCATGACTGCACACTGCTGATGCCAAGACATTTCATTACCAACTACTTGGAATGATGCCCAAGAATTTCCAGCTTAGCTCTCCAGCAAAGGCATCCCACTACATTTCTTTCAGGGAGGAGAATATGAATGGAGACAGGAAGCAGTGACCAACATGCTTACCAAACCACCACAGATGCTGAAGACAGCCATGTGCGTTTCCTGGGCATTGACATGCCCGCGGTAAAAACAGTGCCGCAAATCAGGGGACGGCTGTTTCTGCGGGGCCCCGACGTGCACCACCGTGTACTGAGCAGCGAGGAAGCCTGCATCAGCACTCAAGTTCAGCTGGAAGACCTGCCCGTATGCTCTGAGCTGGTAATGTGTCCGGAAAGCAGCGGGCTCCAGCTGTGCCTCCAAACTCCTTTTCCTCCTTCTGAAGTGATGCGTGTGCGGGAAAACTTCTCCAAACTCATTCACTCGGACAGGTGTGATGATTTCGTAAGAGGAGAGCTGCTTCACCAAGGTCTCTGTAACAGAAAACAGGAGGCTCAGCCTGACACCGCAGCACAGCAGCAACGCCCGGCCGGCACCCGCACGGCTGCGGGCACGGCACTCGTGGCGCCAGCCCGGGGTCCGGTGACAGCCGGGGGCGGGGGGCTGCCGCCAGCCCGCTCGGCGAGACCCGCGGCCGCCCGGCCCCGCCACTCGCCGCCGCCGGGAGCCAGCGCTGCCTCCTCCCGCCCACCCGCCCGCCGGGGAGCGGCGGCTGCCCCGGAGGGCACGGCGCCCGCCGCAGGGCCACGACCCCCGGGCCGGTCGCCGCCTTTGCTGCCGCTCGCTTACCTTGTCCGGGGTGGAAGCGGACTCCCCACGACGCGGTGACGAGCAGGGAGAGGGGGCACAGCAGAGCCGCCAGCCGCCTCGCCCCCCGCATGGCTCGCTCCGCGGCGGCCGTGCCCGCAGCGCCCCCGGGCCGCCGCCGCCTCAGCGCCCGCCGGCCGCCCGGGCCGGCCCCGGCTCCTCCATGCGCCCCGCGCCCCTCCTGGCGTCCCGCCGCCTCCGCGGCTCCGCACACGCCCGCGGGAAGCCGCCCCGCGCCCGCGCTCCCTCTCCTCCCGCCCCTCGCCTCCGCTCCCCCAGCTCGCTCTCCGCCGCCGGGGTGGGCGAGGGCGGCCCTTCCCTTCCCGTCCCTGCCTCCGCCTCCCGTGCCGCTGCCCCTGCGACCGGCGGGGCGGCGCGGAGATGCCCGCTGCCCTCAGGCGGGGCCATCCCGCACCTCAGGCGGACTCGGGCCCGGCCCGCCCCCGGGACACGGGCCGCCCAGGGGCGGAGGGCAGCTCCCCCTCCGCGGCCTGGGCAGGGGCGGCCCCGGGGTCTCGGCCCCGTCCCGCCGCCCCCCGCCCCGGCTGCCGGCGGCGTTACCGCACGCGAATGGTGTCCCTCCAGCCAAAATATGGGGTTGTGAGCAGCCTGGCAACGCCGCATTCCCACCGGGAGCGGCAGAGGCCGTGCCGGGAGATCCAGCGGTGTGTGTCCCACCGATTCAGTATCAATCGCAGCCCCCGCCGATCACCTGCCCCTGCGCTCAGCTCCGGGGGAAGCCGCTTCCCCAGGCTGCCTTCATGGAAGGGGATGTCCAGGCAGAGCCTGGCACCACGGTGTCGACGGACAGAAATTGTTCTGGCTCCACGCCCCCTGCTTCGGTTGTCCTGCCTGGGTGAAGTCTTCATAAAGCTGCTTGTCCCAGCATTCAGGGAGCCCAGCATCCCTCGCATGGAGTGCGTGGAGTATCTGTTTTACCTGAATATTTTTTTCCTGAAATGAGGGAATTGGCTAATCAGGTCTTGAGTGAAGCTATGTAGTACTGAAACAGCCTTCACTGCTAGAATAAAATCATATATCCCTTGTCAAGAGTCCAGGATTGTAGAAGGAATATGTGGATTATTCCAATGTATATTGGCATCCAACATAATCTTGAGAATATTGAGTCTTGTTGTGAGTACTGTGTTTCTTTTTGAATACTTAGAAGATGGAAGCTCTCAGATGGATATTAAACTGTTTTTTCTATGTGGGGTCACTGAGAAGCAGAGTTATATGAAAAGAAAAAAATATTTGTAATCTGAACAGTTCTGCAAAGTGAAGCAAACAAGAAGCTTATGTCTCCAAATACCATAAATATCAAAGAAATCCAACAAGAAGCAAGAATTGCAAAGTATTTCTTTTAAACTGCATACACCAGAGAAGACTGATCATGATAGTCAAACATAACTCCACATCTGAGAACTGGGCATGAGAGAGGAGGTGGGAGGAGAGAGGTCCATTCTGCCCACCACAGAAGCATGAAGATGCAAGATTCATTTCAGTACCTCGAGATGTCCTGTTGCAGAAGACACATGGGCAAACTAGAGTAGAGCAAAAGTAGAGCAAAGTTTGAGTGCTTTGATTTTATTGGCATAAAATGTGCAAACAATAGTAAGACATTAAATTGAGAGGAGCAATTGTTGTACATGCCTCTGATTTCTCCAGCAAATTAGAGTTTCCCCATTTCTTGGATCTTACTCGTTGAAGCAATTATCAGAGTGCAGCAAGTTATCTCCTTCCGAGTCAACTTAAATGGTTGTCAGTGATGAAGCAAATATGTACTACTTCATTAAACAGAAGCAAATACCTACTGATTCAGATGTGATGTTTCACTTGTTTATTATTTTCAAAATTATTTTTTGTAAAAATAAACAGAAGCACTAATCACCAGGAAAGTCAAAGGTTCAGTGATCCAAATTAGAGCACAAAGCTTTGTTGTAGACCACTTCAAAGCAAATATGACTCAATTTTTTTAACAATGTATGTATTATTTAGTGTTTTAGGAAAGACTTTTTCTTCAAATGCAGATATTTTAAAAACAATAAAATTACTTCTCCTAAATCTCATTTCATTGTGTTTAAATTTCCCTGTATTCTATGTGAGAATGGAACCCCAGCTCTTCTACAGTAAACAGTGAAGGTCTATCTCTCCCTGAAGATTGATTGTTTAGAACAATTTAAAATTGACAACCTTCATTTAGATTGACAAATGTTCCAGTAGCTCCTCTCAGTGCCATGGACAAAACTCAGTGGCAGCTAAGGCACTTTATTTTTCCAAATTTTCAACTGAAACAAAAAGTAAATTTCTGGACATTAATCTAGCAATTCAGGCAATGTGAGGCCTCGCAGTTGAGCACCTTTTTACACTTAGCAGCCATTATTCCTTCAAAAACTACTGAAGCCCTACAGGTATTAGACACAAGTCTGATTTTCAAATGCAGGATGGGTTAGCTGTGTGGGAGCAAAGGACAACAGGGCAGGGGATTAGGGCAGTGCTAGCAGTGTTCATGTTACCTGAATGGCTTTGGGCAATAAGCTGCGGTCATTCATTTGACCTCCACCCATATGGCATCACTTTGAATCTTGTGAGGAGCAAATATAACCCTGTATATCAAAGCAAGAGGTACGTTTCTGTTACAAAGAAATAGAAATACATCAGAAAATTCAGAAATCATGGAAATAGTATGTTTGCTACAACTGTTAGAGGTAGAAGGGTAAAGACGCGCACCAGGATGAAGTGAAGAGGAAGAATTATGGAAGTTATCCCAAGAAGCAGGACTGCAAAAAATGAAATATTAAAACTAAATTTAAAAAAAAAAATGAGAGGTAAATACAGAAACAAGGACACAGAGAGGTTGTGTGGTCTCCATCCTTCTGTATACTCAAAATTCATCTGGTCAGGAAGCCCTGAGCAATCTGAATTAACTTTTAAATTAGTCCTATTTTGAGCAGGAGGTTGACCTAGGTGACCTCCAGAGTCTCTTTCCAGCCCAGGTTGTTCTATGATTCTGTGAAACAAAAATTTAAAAAATGGTTCTTGGAGAAAGCTGAAAATACTCAAGTAGAGAGGAAAAAGGAAAGGAAAATACCTATTAAAAGAACAGAGATGTAGGGGAAAAATCAGGAGAAAATAGTCTTCAGCTACAAAACAACAGAAGAAGAAAGGAGACACAACGGAGAATATTTAGTAAGATTTTTTCAAGGCTAGAAGTTATATACTGGCAAAACTCCAGCTAAAGCGGTAGAACTATGCTTGTTTGCATCTGCAAATTCAATCCTCAGAGATGTAATGTATTCTGACTTCATTAAATCTGCATTGAATCAAAGCTTGCTATTGAATAGTTGTCTCTAAAATGCCTCCTACAATATTGAAATAAATCCATCTATTTACAATATTTATTCTGTTCACTTATCTCTTTCAGTTAATATGTTTGGAGTGGAGTATGTTGCACCACTTACTTTGCAAGTCAATGAAATAGAATGGTAGTCTGTACTTGCTGAAATAACTTGTCCTCCCTGGGGTTTCTCTAGGATTTCATGGACAAAATGAATTGCAATTAGGTCATGATTGTTCAATTATTTGTTTTGTGCATTTAAAATTCTGCAGTAGATTAGGCTTACCAGATAAAACAGTAGGATTTGTAAAAATGCATACTGAAAAAATAATACATTTTCTCCTTAGAACCACAGATTAGCTATTAAATCCTTTCACCTGGTTTTGGCTCCATTTTTTTATTTAAGTGGTCTTTTATAAGTGGTTTTGGCTGAAAATCACGAAGTGGAAAATAGAGTTATAAATGTCAGTCATTCAGAAAAGGCAAAGACAACATTCCACAAGTAAGTGAAATTGTTAAAAAAATAAGATGAACAAATTTTATTTTATAAAGGAGACTTTATGAATAATACATTTTACTTCTTTATTATTATATCTTGGCATTTTTCTGTTTTGTGGAATACAATTTAAATCGGACTTTCAGGATCTTAGTTACTGTTCTTGACAGGACACTAAGTACATTGCACAAATATTCCCAGTTTGCAATCTCTTCTCTTATTCATCCACTTATCTCACACTTACCCTGAGATATTAATACCACATATATATATATATACATACCATGGAGCCACCTGACCTCCAGCACAGGAACAAGAGTGGCCCAAGTCCCTTGGTCCCAAGGCTGCTGCTGTCAGGAGCAGGCTGGCCTTGTCCAGACGCTGAGCCCTGCAGTGAGCCTGGCTCGCTGCCTGTCCCATGGCCCTTCCCATCTGTGCCCCATCGTGCCTCCTCCACAATTCCATCTGCAGTGAGCCACGGGATCTGGGCTTGGTGGAGGGAGCTGTCTGCCTGGGTCAGTCAGTATTCTCTGGGTGTTGGCAGCTGGGCTGTGCCTGCGTGACCAGATATGTGATTTTGATACATACTGCTGGAGAAAAAAGTGTTTTTTCCCCACAGTATGTATACATTTCTGCTGCTATCTGCATTCACACTATAGTAATTTTTCAACAGCAGTGACTTACTCTAAGGTTAATGTCTTTAAATTTACTTTTTCCATAATCAAAAGTGACAGAAGTTTCCTAACTTTTATATTTTTTAATGTGAATTTGTCAAGTTTTATCCTGTGAAATATAGGTTTACATAGAGAGTGAAAAGTACTCAATACCATACCACGTAATTTAAACTTGCCTCACTTAGTTTTATTGAGATCCTGAATAATTTTTGTGTTAGATGTTTTGTAGCACTGTCTATTAAATACTAGCTTACTGGTAAAAAGAATTATTCACAAACAGATATATACTAGGCAGTCATAACAACTAATTTAAGAAACTTATGATTGTTTAATATTATTTCTTTGTGTTAACAAGGGAAGACAAGCACTTTGATATCATCCCAAATTCCCCAAGAGGAAAAGCCAAGAGGCATACTACAGAGTATTACACCCAGCATTGTGCAAGCAAGTACCTAGGATGTACTGGGGCTCAGTGATCCAGGACAGAAGCAGACTGATTTGTGCCTTCTGCTAACCCTGGGTCAGGAATCCTGCTCCAAGCTTCACCCCATCTTTTTGCTCCATCAATA